GGTGGTTTGGTGTCGGAAAAAGGAATGGGTGGCAGGGTGTGTTTTTTTTTTGGGGTGGGAGGGGACAATGGAGGACAGGGGCTCCTCCACCATGGTCCTCCTGTGTGTTTTTCTGGGGGGTGGCGGGCGACGGAAGCGTGTCGGGGCAGTTTGACCTCCACCATGGTCCTCCTGCGTGCCCACACGCGTTGTTAGCCATACGACGGATCACCTGAAGCCTTCGGGAAAAAAACCGTCCGTGTACGATCGGCCAGTGGGCGGGCTGTCGTGGACGGCGTGGCGTGTACACGGTGTGCGGCGTTGGCGCACCGCGTTGAAAAGGAGATTCTGGGCCGCAGTCCGTACGACAGTACTCTATTGTCCACGTCTCCGACGGTGTCATCTAATCACTGATTCGTCGCCGCAAGCCAGCACTTCCCGCCCTTTGCCCCTCCACTCTCACGCTTTGTGCACCTCGTGCAGTCCCCCCTCACGCGCCGCAAGCACGTGCTCTTTTTTCTATGGCCATCATCGTCGCGGCTCCTGCCCACCACGACTGCGCATCATCCACGTGCTCCTTCGTCGACGTGGCCGTCGTTGATATCCAAGCGTCGTACTTCGACGTGCTCCTTCATCGACGCGCTCCTTCGTCCACGTGTTCGTCGTTGCCGAGTTGCGGACGACATGGCCCCGAGGAACGCATCAGCAAAGGCCAGGCAAAATAGCGGGGCGGGCGACGAGGGGAAAACCAAGAGAGGCAGAGGGCATATCCCTAAGCCGAAAAGGCAGCGCGTTGAAGAGTTGAGCTCCGAGCACACTGCAGACTTCCAGCCAGAAGAAGTGGTGATGGTGGACGCGCAAGGTACTTCAGCGGCACCGCGATTGGGTTTCGGTCGGGATGGGTTGACGAGGGAACAGGTGTCCGCTGTCAAGCAGAGCATTGTTGTCGGTGCTGCTGGTGCGTCGCAAAGGACCCCGAAGGCGGCAGGGGTTGTCATAACGGAGGTGCGCGTCCCGAGGCAACTTCCCGCGGCGACGGGGCAGGGCCAGCCACGTCAGGCACTTCCACTGCAACAGCTGGGGGCTTCAAGGGGGGGAAAGCATAGCCCGCGCAAAAGGGCGATGCAACGGCGATCAGCACTCGGACGGCGGCGGCGGATCGCAGTGGTAGAACTGGAGTCGCCGAAGGTGCGGGCGAGGAGAGGGAAGGCGACGTCCGCCACGACGAGGGAAGAAGAGACGGAAAGCGGGAGGGCGACAACGACGACGACCGTCCACTTGTGACAAGGTTGAGGGGAGCCGCAAAGGAGGATGGTCTGGAGGAAAGATCGAAGATGTGGGTTGATTGCGAATCTTTCTGGGTCAGGGACCGGGGAAACCCTTGAGGGAGGCGGTTGGCGAGTGCGCGGACTACTTCATCGCAATCGCCAATGGAGACGCGGGAGCTGAACTGCCTGCGATGCTCATACTACCGCCGAACGACGTGCCGCGCTTCAAGATCGACGACCCTGCGCAGCGTGAACCGGCTCTGCGCAAAGCCCGCAACGTCGAGAAACTGGTGTTGCGCGCCATCCACGGCTGGATTTTCAAATTGTCGTTGTGGTCGGCTGGATTCACTCGTGCAGAGTCCTACATCAGTGTCGATATTGCCACAGACGTCGCACGAGCAGTTTGGCAGGGGCAGGAATGGTCGAACGTGGTGTCCCCTGCACTCGTGTACCACAATCTCGCGCTGAAGATGGACGTGCCTCTGTGGTTCGCGGGGGTGAAGATTGTGGATCGGCCCGAGAACGACGACATGGCGGCGCGGCAGGAGGCGACAGTTCTTCGCATCGCGGAGTGCTGGACAAGCGCACTGTGTTGTGGACAATGGGCGAACGGTGGGCGCGTGAAACATGAGAGGTTGTCTAGGCATGTGGACTGTCTTCGAGCGTTGTTGAGCGCGTGCATGTGGATCACGCGCATGGGTGGTGAGGACGACCGTTCGCACTACGAGGCGTGCCTTTACTCGTCCATGGTCGCCAAACCGACAATGATAGCGGCGGGGTCATACATCTTCAACTGGCGGCGACACATCGTCGACAGCGCGAACCTCGTCTTGGATCGTATAGGGAAGGTTCACCTCACGCTGGGAGAATACCCGCACTGCATTCCGAAATGGTGTGACTGCGGGTTGGTGTTCGGCCACAACGCGGCCCTGAAGAACGCGGCGGAAGCCGCGAAACACGGATGGATTGGCAGCGGGCCTGCGGCGGAGGAAGTGGGAGACGAGGACGGTTGACACGTGGGTGCATCCGTGGCGCAGCGTCAGGGTGCGGATCGTCGACTGATTGTAGTATTGAAAGACGCAACGACGAACGCAGTGCCTGCGACCGCAGACGGGGCAGCACGGGCGGGATGGGTGCTGGCTGGTGTTGCTTGTTCAGCGGGGAAGGGCGGAGGGGGGTAGGGTTGTGGGGGGTTTGGGTTGGTTGGCGGGGAGGAGCGTTAGCCGAGTGGTCGTGGCGACTCGAACGGCGTCTGGTCTCGAGTGTCGTCATGTATATGTCAGGTTGCAGTCGTCGTGGTGCATGTATAGCAAATGCTTTCGTTTATTTTGTGTCATTATTAGGTGATTGGAGCGCGCTTGGTACGCTTGCTCCGCCGCAGGGTTAATTGGGTCGGCGGAATGCTCCGCCGAAATGCGCGTAGACGGCATGACCAGTCCGTGTGTAGTGCGGAACGCTTGAAGTGTCGATAGTCAGACAGAAAGGGAAATCGTCGCCTATGCGATTGATTTTATGTAATATGAACTCAGTGAAATATGTGTTGCTTTTTCCGTGTCTTGTGTTTGCATGCAAAAGATTGCGCACGGAGTCATATCGTCGTTGTCTTCTGTGTGGTTTTATCACATGACGCACGCGTGAATGACCATCGCATCGTCGTCCGCATCTTCTTGTGTATGAGCCCGTGTTTTTTCCATTTCACCTATCGCGGCATCGTTGTCATCGCCATGAACTTAACAAAGAAAAGAAATAAAAGGATTGCGTCTTCGTTGCACGGTTGCATGATGAGCACATCAGTCTCGAGTTCATCTTTCTTTTCTTTGTTGATGCATGTCAGTCGTCAATGCAACAACGAAACTTTTCGGGATTCACAAACGCGATGCACGTCATTCGTCAATGCAAAAAACGAAGTAGAAGAGCTTTTTGGAAAAAAATGGAGACAAGCCGAGACGACATGCACAACACACGTTCCATGCACCGCAAAAAAAAAAAGAAAAAATAACATCCCTCGATAGAATAGCAGCAGTCGGGTACACCGAAAAATCCATTGCCAAACATCATCAAAAAAATGCACCATTTGAAAGTTCTCGAAAAAATAGGCGCGTGAAGCGCATGCAAAACAGCGGGCTCACGAACCTCTTCGTGCTGGCGACTACGACTCCCGTCTACGAAAAGACGAACGCAGAGGACGAGTACTACATCAGCGATCCCGTTGCACTCCCGCTGCACAACGGACTGGACCTATACATCGTCGTCGAATACAAGAACAAACACCTGAAAAGAATCCGACCGCGACGACACGACTTCAACGGGACGAACAGGTAGGCGGCAAGGTGGATCAAACGTGTTTCATCCGCTGCGCGAGTGCATTGCGCAGCGCATGAGCCTCGTGCGTCGAAGTCAACAAGGACACTGGCTGCGGGGGGCGATAAATCCCCTGGTCCACTCGCCGCCTCACCCCGTTCGCGTCGACCTCCCACAACAAATTCTCGTCGAACTTGATTCCTGCATCGAGCAGGATGTTCTGGAGAATGCATACCGTCGTGAACTGCTGCGGCAGACTCTTGAGGTTCATCTTGTGCGTCCGCAGGAAGAGCCTCCACATCCCTTTCAACCTCCCAAACGCCATCTCCACGGCCCCTCTTGCGACCTTTTGTTTCGTGTCGAACCTTCCCTCGTCCGGGTGCTGATTGATTCCTCCGTACGGCGCCACCACCCACTCTGAAGGAGGATACCTGTTGTCGCCCAAGATGAATCCGTTCGTCGTCACCCCTCCCGACAGCGTCACAGGTGGCCCACGAAACAGCAATCCCTCTTCCACGCTCCTCGACAGACTTGACAGGTGGATCACCCTTATGTCGTGGCAGCTACCCGCATATCCCACGAACACATCAAGGACGCGCAGATCCAGGTCCACCACAACTTGCGCAATGACGGAAAAACGGTGCTTGCAGTCGAAGTAGTTCTCGCTAGGCGCGTTCGCCGGTTTGTCCACGTAGATGTGTGTACAGTCAACTGCGCCATGGCAATTTGGAAAGCCCTTGTCCAGAAAAGCCCGTAGGACGACTTGTTTCCGCATCCCCGTCGGCCACGATATCTTCTCCCCGTACACCCTCAAAATGGCGGCTGTCACGTCGAGCAGGGCTCGAACTTCGGAAGTCCTACCCATGCCGAAGGCTGATGTGCTGTTATCGTAAGACTCTCCTATGGCCCACCTATACAGCGCGTATGCGACGATCTGCTCCGGCAGTAGTGGCTCCCTGTAAAACGTCACCTGCCGCTGCACATGAGGCGCACATGCTTCGCTGATCTCCATGAACACTCTCCTCGACATGCAGAGCTTTTCCCGGAAGTAGTCCTCTGTCGCGTCATCGCAAACCCGCAAATCCTCCCAAGTCCCGCCAGCTCTCCGCCACATCCACCAACATGGCACCGCCCGAGGAAGCAAACCGCACCCAATAGCAGCACACAGCTGAACCACGGCTTGGGATGTGGTGATGCAGTCCGGGGCGTCCAATATCCCTTGCAGCAATAGCCTCTGCCGCCGCCTCGAAAGCGCTGCCTTCATGCGCCCGGCCGCACTCTCGATTTGAAAACGACGGACAACGGCAACCGCAGCTGCCGCGACTGTTGTCTTCTCCGTCGTCGACAGCACAGCAGGTCCATCGCCATCGCAGCCGTCCATCACGTCCCTCGTAGACAAAAAACGACGTCCACCGCCGCCCACCTCCGTGCACATATGCCGCCACGGTTGAAGACGCCTGCAACCACGTCAGGAAGACAACCCGGCCCAACGACGCGATGGCAAACGAAACCCTGCGTGGCGTAGGCTGGCCCCTGGCCGACCCGCCTGTGCGCCACCGCCACGTCGCTCCGCAACATCAAAATTGAAAATTTGAATTTCGAAAGGGGATTTTCCCGCGTTGGTGTTTTTTTTTCCAAGGGCCCGTGACGTCTTCCCGCCGTCTGCATTTTGGCCCACCACGACTGCTACACGAACATCCCGAATTGGCGGCCGGACATTCCTCTCGCGGCTGTGTATAATCTAATTAAACTGGCCGCGGGAGGGCCCCGAGGATTCCTCGGGGCAATTCTCCGAGGACAGGTGGAACGACACCTCCGAAAATCAAAAATTGCTCCAAGGATTCGTCCTCGGAGCCCGAGGACGCGCTGAGGTGTGTCGAACAACGCCCTAACACTTCCGAGAATGTATACAGCTGCAATCACGCCCAGAGCTTTGTTTCGTTTTCCTGTTTTGTGAGTTTTCAC